CCCCAAAACCCCAAAACCCCAAAACCCCAAAACCCCAAAACCCCTTTTTGAATGAATTTCATTGAAATTTTCAGAAAATTACTTAAAAACGTTATTCTCGATGTACAGGAATTCACTGAAAATTATTAATCCTTAACAAACATTCTGGGATCTAAAGGCTAATGTATTCATACACCTGTGTTTCATAATCAGCCATTGAGTAGTTCTTGCCCAAGATCTTGATCAACTTGTTAGATTTGTTCGTAAGATAGTCCTTTTTATACGTAAATTTGAGATTCTTAGGATTCTTCACAAGCATATAGTTCTGATTCAGAATATTATATGAAGCTTCAGCGTTCGTAAATATCTTTTCAAACTGATTATCATGGAGTTTCACTATTAGTGTAGATTTAGGCAACGGTGTTATCTCTCTATTTGAGATTTTGTTCCCAAGAGTACTCGTGAAGTTATCTCTCGAGGTCATATCTTCTAAGAATTCAGCTGTTGGCTTTCCTTTAAATATCATCAACTGATGAATATCAGTGTTTAGGTAGATTTCGAGGTTCTCTCCATTTCCAGTTGTTTCAAGAAATTCGAAAATTGGTAAGATTGAGAACCCATAATTTTCAACTTTTTTGATACCTGTTTTGGAAAGTTTAACTTCGAAAATTTCATACACAAGAACACTAGTTGCATTGGGTTGGGTAACATAGAAGTTATGCTTCGAATCTGAAAAAGTAATAGCTTTTTGAGGACTTTCAAAATCAATTTTATAAGTTGTTTGCACATCAGTAGCAGCATGGGTGTCTTCTAACCCCAGAGTTCTCCTATCGTTCATATACAATCTTCCTGGGGGAGCAAGACTGCATACGATATAATACAATGATTTTGGATTAGAGTGGAGAAGAAAATCAACACTGGATGTAAAACCTAGCTGAGGAATATACTCAGAGAAGAATTTTTTATCAAGATAGGAGATCCTTCCTAAATCAGAGAAACTCTTTATTGGAGGAACCATAAAATTCTTCTCAACATAAGCCTTAATTTCAGTGTCACTTAGCTTTTTCTCTTCTTTAGAATGTTGATTGATAAGAGCAGTTAAAACATCTCTTGTATTTGGAGATGGCCTCTTTAATTTTGCCTCCATAATGACACTTTCTGTTGCACTTACTTTACAGAAAGAGGTGTTGTAATCTCCATCAGAATATGGCTTTGGAGGGTCAATAATACCTAAAGATGAAAGTTAAACATTTTAAAAGAGAAATTTCTTATTTCGCCGCTCTCTACCTTATTGGCTTTGAAATATGAGAATACAAAATTCAGGTGCTAAATATTTACCTTTATTCTTTGCTTCTTCGATGCTAATCTTTGCTCCAAAAGTTAGAGGTCTTCCTTTAGCATCCTTTGCAGCCTTTCTGATTCTGATTAGTAAAGATGCAGCTGGAATCTTTTCTCAATCTTGGAAATCTTTATATGTTGAATTCTTGAGATTCTTGACAAACTGCATTTGAATTGGAATTTGGTAGTCACCATCTAATAATCCATAATCTGTGCATCTAGGATTTATTCATGGAGATCTAGTAGTGTTATCAATGAAGAGAGGCATTCAAGCATGGCCTACTATAACTGTATGGCCTTTAGATAAATCAAATGTGTCAATAGTTAAGACTATTATTGAAGTTGGATCCATTTTGCTAACTCTAATCTCACTTCTGTTTCCATAGAATGGTTCTCTTGAAGTACTAGCGACAATATCTGGCTGTATAACCTCAGGCCTTAAGACTTGTTTGCCTTTAATTGTAATGCAATGCATGACGATTCTGCTATAGCTTGCATTTTCAGGGAAGAATCTTCCTGTGTCAATATAGATATCAATTCCATCCTTTTTATCAAATTTATCTGGGCTGTACTGCTCCCTATCATTTGGAATAAATGGAGCATCTTCAGGAGGTCTATTAGGAGGAGGGTTAAGCATAGGCATATCTTTTGGCATCTGAGCAGGTGCCCCTGGAACTGGCTTCAAAGGTTTATCCTTATAAGGCTCCATCTGAGGCATTGAAGGTAATGGCTGGGATACTGTGATTTTGATCGAAGACCTCATCAACTTATCTGGATCATGATTTCTGATCTTTGGAGGAGGATGATACAGAGGAATATCAAATGTTCCGTACCTTAAAGTTCCATCTGGGTGATTTAGTTTAATTGATCCATATCCGACAGCAACATATTCATGCGAAGAAGGATGAACTCTTTTATTCAATCCAACAGAAGCTTCCATAAGAGTTATGACTAGAAATAGTTCATTTCTTAAATTTTTATCCCAGATCATTTTGTAAAAGTCATGTTCCCAGCTGACTTCACTATTAATAGGCACTAATATGTCTTCTGAATCTTTATTATAGCCAATTTTTCTATGACCGACCATGTACTGATCTTCCTCATCCTTAGTTCTGTCAATAATAGGTGCCCCGTCTGGTTGCACTTGTGCTGTATTCTTCCATTTTGCCATCAGAACTTTGCCAGCATCTATGGGATATGAAGCCCAGTTGCATTCCCTTTGGTCATGCCCAATCCTGACAACTTTGTCTTCTTCAAGGATAGTCGCTCCAACTTTAATAGAGTTTTGGGATGGGAATTGCTTCACATAATGAATAAACACATTAGCACCATTGCATCTGTAGAATGGGTCCTTTTCTGTAGGAATCTTTCGATTAGGTTGTCTCATTGGAATCATTGCTTGGTCGTTACCTCCCGCTCGAGGTTGAGGAGCAGGCTGATAAGTATCTGGTTGGTCATAATTTTGACCATAATCATCTCCAAAATCAGGGTTTGGTTTGAAAGGTTGATGCACATGCTCAACCTGATGTATCGAGGGAATCCGATATTCATTCGTATCTTTTTCGGGCAAATATTGAGATGTAGCAATGTTATCTCCAGGTACTGCAAGTCTCATACAAATGAAAGTATCCTGAAGAGGTTGCAAAGTGTTAATATCTCTTGCATCTATATCTGAAAGAGTTTCACCTGTATATAAAGGGAGCCTAAACTCTCCAGTGTGGAAATCATAAGTATAATCAAATAAATTTAAAACCGTCCATCCAAATGCTTTGAACTTATTTGGACCTGATTTTACACTCTTATCTGGCACTTGTCACTCAATAACCATATTTGCACTTGGGTGAGGAGAGATATGCTTTACTTGATTTCCTACATCGTAGACGACTCTGTTCATCTCTGGAGCTTCAGGATCAGCTTCTTTATCCTGATAAGAAACTACTCTGTTGTCTGTTAAGCCTCTACCATTATTGTAGCATCCATATACAATTTGCATTCCATTATGCTCTCTTGGGATCCTTGCAACAGAATCAAAGAAGACAAGGAATCCTACTTTTGGGTCATAAATCTTTTCTTCTTCTGGAGCTGCAGCAGTGTTAGGCATAGCAGTCTTTGGAGGGAATTGGCCGGTTGGTGGAGGCTGGTTAGCAGTATTCATATAATTCTGAGTATCTGGTGCATTAAAGTCAGCTCCTGGGTATGTCATAGTCTGATCTCCAGGAGGTTGATATCCAGTATCTCCTCCTTCTGCATTTCTTCTTAACTTAGCTGCTAAGATCTCTCTTTTCTGCTCTTCCATCCACCTCTCATGATTATACTTTCTTTCGTCTTCATATTTCTGTTTTTCATAATCTCTTCTAATCTTTTCAAGTCTTTGCTCTTGAAGTACTTTTTCTACCTCTGCACGCATTGTGCTCAATTCTTTGTATTGATCCATTTTTACTCGGTATAATTCAGAATTAACTGGAAGTCTTGAAAGCAATCTAAGATGATCATATTCTTGAGCTGCAATATTCATTAAGGCTCTCTCTTCAACCTCCAGGTCTTCAGACCTGAAGTCGTTCTGTCTGAAGATAAAATTTTCAGGGAATGGTTCTTCCTCAGGAACTCCTCCTGGGAGGAGTTGGTTCTTGAGAGCTTCAACCTCTCCAGCTGCATTTTGAGCCAGATTTTCGAAGTCATAATCATCGTTATTGATTTTCTCAAGTTCTTCCTCCAGCTTTTTGTTTTCATCTTGAATTTGCTTGACCATGGAGTCCATGTACATCAAATTAGGATTGTTAGCATATGCTGGAGGATGACCGTATGGATGCCCTCCATACGGAGGTGCGCCATACGGAGGTGCGCCATACGGAGGTGCGCCATACGGAGGTACACCATAAGGTGGTGCTCCATATGGTGGAACCATCCCTGGAGCAGGAGGCGCTGCTAGTGGCATTGGATGATCTGCTATCTTAGCGGAATTTTCTTCGTATCCTAACCCTTCTTTTACCTTTTGAGGAGCTCTATTTTTGATAAAATCGTTTAGGTCGTTAACTTTCTTGATAAAATTAGGATCGTCTCCTCCATTATTAACATAAGATTTGTTAAGATCTGCCAAACCATCTGCTATATTTTCACTATCCTTTGCTTTTGGAGGAAGTTGAGTTTTCATCTCATTGGGCATTTTTACTTCAGATTGAGGAAAACTCATTGGGGCTGCAGGTTCATTATTTGGTATTTTTGCAGTCCTTGGATAATCTCTTCTTATTTTGTTGTTCACATCTTCTTCTAACATATCAAGCTCATCAAAGTTCATCATTTGGTGATTAGTTTTCTGCTGTTGTTCTCGAAGATGATTGATTTTTACTTGATCTGCTATAATCTTATCTTTCATAGCCGGGTCAATATCAGCCCTATCGAAATCTCGAGTATTCCTCATGATGTCCTCTCCTGCACTTGAGAGGCTTGATTTTGGTCTAGTGTCCCCACCATACCCATGCGTTACATGATCAAGATCCTTCATAATTCTATTTCTTTCCTTCTCCAACATTTGTCTCTTATGTTGTAACTTAACTACAGTATCTCCTCTCTGTTTGGCCATCTCTAGTTCTTTCTTCTTTATCTCATTGATCGCGAAGATGTCATCATTGTTGACTTTTCTGGCTTCGTCGGCTTCTTCTCTAAATTTTTTCTCTTTGTTAATCATATCTTGTTCCATTCGTTTGACTTCATCGATCATCTGCTGTTCACGAATCCTGAGATTTTCTCGTTCAGAAGATAGCTTTTCAAGTTCCCTCTTTTTCTGTCTATCAGCATGGGAGAGGGCTGAGTGATCCATATCTTTTATGGCTTGTTTAATCTCTTCTTTATCAATTTCTGCCCGGAGTTCTTTTTCCTTTGCTTTTTCAAGTTCTTTAAGTAACTCCATAACTTCTTCATTAGTATCTTCCTCTTGGAGACGAAGGAGGTGTTTGCGGTTCTTCATCTCTTGAATCTGGTCTTTATATTCCATCCCTTTCTTCTTCTGGTCATAGAGATTTTTGTTATCAAGGATTTTATTCTTATTGTCGAAATAATCCTTGACTTCTCCTAAGGAGAGTCTACTCAGAGCTGCTTTGTTCAGGTCCCCAGTGGGGTCATCACCTCTTAAATATGATCTAATCTATACAGCAGGTTATTAAACAAGGAATCGATTCGAGATAGGACATGCGTTGTGGGAAGAGGCACTTACATCCTTTATACCGAGCTTTGGATCATTCATATTATCCTGCCCGAGGTCATATAACTTATTTTTCTAACGCCTGGATATTCCCGTACTGACTTGATGTACAGAATTTCACCTCGTGCTTATTAAGATCCGCTCTTGAATCGTATTGCATACCTCAGTTCTTACATTTGAACTTAAATTGTGATGCCATTAGTATGAATTATTTATATTATTTCATTTACTAGTTTTGAGAATGGGGTTTTGGGGTTTTGGGGTTTTGGGGTTTTGGGG